GAGAGAGAGAGAGAGAGAGAGAGAGAGAGAGACAGAGAGCGACAGAGAGAGACAGAGACAGAGACAGACAGGTCAGCTGGCCCCACCCGAGGCTGAAGAGCAACAGATGATCATGCTAAGCTTGCTAACTGTTCCACCCTCTGACAACTGCAGGGGCGTGTCTTAGAGAGAGGCTTTTATACCAGAACACAGCTGCTGTGACGAAACCGTGGAGAAGACACGTCACCATGGAGAGCCGTTAGCCTGCAGTACCACTGCTCTACCCATATGAGCAGCAAAAACACGTTTTTAGACCAAATATTAGATTTGAACAAATGTGCACAAAAACATCAAAATTAGCACAGAAACAGTACTATATAACATTTTAGACACATTCTAGACAGTTTTATCAGCTAAAAAAAGTTGATTTTGGGGTAAGTTACTCTTTAAGTATTTACAGGAGGTTTAGTTTAAGTATGTACAGTAGGCTTAGTTTAAGTATGTACAGTAGGCTTAGTTTAAGTATGTACAGTAGGTTTAGTTTAAGTATGTACAGTAGGTTTAGGGTAAGAGGTCAGGGATAAGCTATAGAAATGAATGGAACTCCATGAACGGTCCTAATAAGTACATAAATATAAACTTGCACGTGTTTTTGTTTTCTCAGTGAAACATTTTTAACAAGAACTTCATGTGATACAAATCTTCTAAGTTTCCAGAACTTCCACCATGACACAGTTTACTTTGTTACTTTTTACTTCTTGTTTTGAAAGTTTCTCGTTTCATCAGCTTCACTGTTTTGACCAGAGAATTAGAAAAATGTGGAACTTTCTTTGCTTTGTCTAAAGTGTTGTCAAACTATSTAAACTGTTCTTCATCTCCCTGTATGCCTCCGAAGGTCCAACTCTATAGGGTAAGAAYCCTGCAGCTGTTTTTTTTTTACATTAGTTGATGCCTCTCAGATAAACTGTCACGATGTCGACTCCGTCAGTTCAGAAAGTCAAACAGGAGCTTGTTGTGTTTAATTGATTTTGGTTTCTAAATGAGYAAAATCAATTATTTTTATTAGTCATGTGAAAGAGATGTCCTAGTCTTTCCTGCATGTCTCTGAATGGAGCCAGTGTTTTAAATTAAGCTTTTTCTGACTGCACAAACAGAACACCTGGCTTTAATTTTCATTTTAACTGTTAAAAGCAGTTGAAAGTAACATTCTCCTGCGTGGTCTTTTCCAAAAGGCTCCAGTGTGACATAAGTTAGCTCTCTGCTCAGATAAACCTTTTTGAAATTCAGTTTATCAGAAGCTGCGAGGCTAACTCTGAATAAACACAAGATAAACAAAACTCTTGATGTTGCTTCAGTGTCGTCTTTATTAATCATTGACTCCTCTCCCATCATGCTCTCTGGGGGCAGTTACTCTGTCAGACACTCGATGAGCATGCCAACCATGAGGTAACAAGGCTGAATTCTTTCTATGTTTGCTCACATTGCCTGTTTACAGACACACTCCTGTGTTAGCAGTTGTCTTTTCTGCTTCCCCTCACCTGTATGTGTCTCATCTGTTTGTATTTATTTCCCTAAAACACAAATTTAAACCATTATAATTAAACAATACAGCAATTTTACATACTTACAACCAATAATTTGTGACCTTGTTGGGTTATTTAGAAAATTAGGCCTCTTAAACCTTGATGTTCTCTTTAAAAATGTAAAAATATTTATTTTGTTCACAGAAACTCTCCCAGCTTCAAATCTTTTGAGGAAAAAGTTGAAAATACAGTTTCCACTATCAAGGTAAACTTGATTTGTGTGTATTTTTGTCTTTATGGGGATTTTAAGATGATAAAGTTGTTTTTTTGATGGTATTATTTGTAAGAGTGAGCCCCCTTGTGGCTGATCTGCAGTACAGCAGCAGCACATTCACATAATTTAAAAATGACTACGTCTTCTTATTTTTCTTTTACGCAGACTAAAGTCGGTGGTCCAGGGACCGGTGGCAGCTTCGAGGACGTCCTCTCGTCTGCAGCCAACGCAAGCTCCCAGGACACGCCCACTAACAACCTGACGGACAGCCCCGAGGGCCAGTGTTAGAGCCACACTGAGGCGGGACTTTAAAGCAAGAAACTCACAACACTTTGTTGTTTCTGCTGAAATTTCTGACCGAAGTTGCACACCATGTTTTTTAACCCGCGTGCAGACAATCTCGTTAAAATTTCCCTCGCTCCTTTCATGAATGTTCCCGTGATCCGGTTTGATTCAGCTTGGTGAGCTTTTATTTTGGAAAGCTCAACAGATCGCGAGCTTTAATGAATCTCACAGGAGACCTGATAAATAAAACAAGTTGTTGGTGGATTTGAAAGCAAAGACAAAAGCTCCCATCTTCGTTACACCAGTTATTCTGACAAACCGATTTTCTGCCTGTACTTCCACGGGTTTAAATGTATCAATTTGTGACGATTTTCCTCATATCTCGCGAGAAAAAAACTCATTACAGCTGAAGAATTCTTAAATCTCAGAGGTTATTTATTCCTCTTCCTATTTATTTTAGATACAGCTGTGTTGAAGGGCTTTAAAACTAATTTTTYACACAAAAACACAAACATTCCAGGAAATGTGTGACTTTTAAAAAACAAAACGCTTGAAGAAGCTTTTAACCACTACCAATTGTTGCACAACACAGGAGATAATGTTACTTTTTAAAAAAAGTTGCTGTTTTGGCCCAATATCTGGCATTATTCAGTTTATCGTGTTTATTTTAACAGATTTCCTGCAGCTGAGACCGTTAGGATTGTTTAAAGCATCTTTAACTTCGCGTGTGAATGAGCTGCTCTACAGAAAACATGAAAAAGTTTATATATTTTCTGATTCTTAGTTGCAAAATGGCAACTAGAATCATCTTTTCAAAGAAATACGATTTAACATCTCAGTTTGTCATTTAAAATAATCTCCTTGCTTTGCCATCGCAGTCATATCTGTTCTGTAACCAGTATTTTTATTTTCTTTTTCTGCACTACAGTTATTTATCAAGATTCAAGCACTAAAATAAAAATCTTAAACACCTAAAAACACTGAGGCAACATGTTCTGATTATATCATGTTTAGATGAATTAAAGAAAAAGAAGTACATCTATATGATATTTTTAGGACTGGTGTGTAAATATTAACCAAACTTGATGCACTCGTTTTATACAAGATAGACTGAAATATAATCCTAAATGTTCTGGAGCGTTATTCTGAGCACGATGATGATTTTGAACAGAAAAGCCTGGAATTTGTGCTACTTTCCCTGCGCTAGTGAAGCTATTTTCAAAACTAGCTGGGAAATCCTGGTATGTATGGTTTAAGGTTTTCTTTTTCAAATAAATAAATAAATGGATTCAAACCCATTTTATCAACACGAAGCCTAAAAAGTCAAGAATTTTGGAAAATGTGCTTCGTTTAGTTTTTGTATCCCTGCTTTTGATGTGATGAGATGTCGTGTCCGAGTTTGATTCTGCAGCAGGATCAGAAAATAACTTGTTAAAGGAAATTAGTACGGCACTGCAACGTTTTCCCTCCTTTTTATATGATTATTTCTGTGACGTCAAATCTACCAGGTAATAAAGATCTATTACCAAAAATGTATTTCATGTGCAATAAAGCTTGATGTGTAAAAATGTGAGATTTAACGACTTTTCTCTACTTGGAAAAAAAACTGATGAAAAGATATAAAACAGTAATACAGAAAGGAAGCGCTGTAGGAGGTTAAACAAGTTTAGTATATTCAACAAAAAAAATGTTTTATAGTAAAACAAAAGATGATGTGCCACCTACAATAGTAGCCGTTTTCAAATTTCATCTTTTAGAGAAAAATAACTCATTAAACAGTTTAGGTTTAACCATCTGCAGAATGAACCTAAAAGAGAATGAGGTCATCGCTGTAGCTTTTTTTGTTTCAGGTCCATCTAAAAAAAGTTTTTTGCATTCAGTCARGATGCGTGTGTGAAGTCGTGTTGGGGTTCAGATCCTGACGACTCTCCGGTTTCTTGCTCCTCGTGTCGTCAGTGTTGTGACTTCCCCTTTGATCGTTTAAAGAGCCGAGCAGTTGCAGAACATCTGGGTGGTGGAACTGACCTAATGGTAAAAAAGAATCACAAAGTTTAAACACTAAAAACATAAATAAAATTTAAAAAACACACTGATGGCTTTACGGGTTCGAGACGACCTACCGGTGGTGGAGTCGAAGAACTCCTGCAACCTTCCCGGCGCTCCCTCCAGCTCTTCGTACTCGTGCGCCTGCAGGATCATCTCCAGGAGGTCGAACTGTTTCACCAGCCTGGCTTCTGGACTGCGCTGATGTTCGTATTCCTGCATGCGACACAAATCATTTTAAAATCCCAGCAAAATGACAGATGGGATGCTCAGACTTTACAAGGTTTGTAGCAAAAAAATAAAAATAAAAATACCTCCCACAGAGCAAAAAGCTCCTGTTTGAGTCCCTCCGGCAGAAGATTTGTCAGGTGTCTCATCGCTTCCTGAGAAAGAAGCAAAACTGATCAACTTTTTTTTTAATTTTTGTGCAGCTGATTAACTGTTGGATTTGCGGCTCACTTGCCTCCTCTCTCCTGTGCTTCTCTTCCTTACTGACATTATCTGATGGAGCAATATCTCCCACAATGCACTCTGCCATATCGTGGACAAGAGCCAGCCTTATGCACCTGAGCAGAAATGCACGATGAAGGTGTCTGTCTAGACAAACGACTCGTTGTTCTTAAGTGAACTTCCACCCACCTGTCTCGGTCCACTGTGGGGTCAGTGATGGTCAGAGACATCATAGCCATGCGGTACATGTGGTCCGATACGCTCTCTGGTTTCTTCACCTTCCTGTACACCCAGCCGGTCCGGGGCACCCTCTGAAGATAAACACAAAGGCGGGGTCAACAAAAACTAGATTTTTCTTATTTCGTAAAAACACGACTTTCGTGTGCTGTTCGTCTTCCACTTTACCCTCTTGTTCCATTTATTTTAAGATAAGCACTACACAATATACTGTCAGGTACAAAAACTAGGATGGTAAGGACTAAAAATGCAGCCAAGTCAAATTAAAAATCTTCAAAATTACTGATGAAAATCACTTGAAAATAATCAATTTATTCTCTTGAAAACTTATTACTAATAAAATGGGGTTTGCTTAAACTGCAAGGTATCAGATGTTTGTCATAAACCTGCATATGTTCATAATTAATGATGTATTTCAAAAAAATGCAGGATGGGTGCTGTTATGATGACAAATCTTTTAAGTTTTATCAACAAACTCTTTGTTGTCTCTAAAATACACTAAAAAGCTACCAAAAAAAACCATAGCTAACTTTTAAAATACGTCTTACTTTGAGTTGTCCGATTAATTTCATAAACTGCAGCATATTCATGCCGGGTAATTTCTCACTGGTGGCCGCCATTACTGGCCTGATGACCCGGAAGTAGAAATGTGGAATTTACTGATGTGGTAACTCGAACACACCGCTAGATGGCAGCACAACCAGCGTAGAAAGAAGAACGAAATTAGAACAACATTGCTAAATTGTGTTTTTAACCTATTTTATTTATATTCATTCGTTTTCCGTTTTCATGTCTGTGCAAGAAAAATAAAATTCTAAATACATTAGATTGCCTCCGTTTAAGCAACAAAACGAGAAACAGTAGCGAGCTCGACAAAACGGCAAGAAAAAAAAGGCACGAAGAAGAAAATTCTCACCGGATGTTAGCAGAAGCGGGAGATTAGAAAACGTAAACAACTTGACGCGTGAAGCATTTGTTTCGTGCTTAAATTGTTAGCAAAATGCTGAAAAAGCCATCCAAGMTAAAAAGTACTATTAGGACAAAAGCAAAGGGTAACGTGAAGGTCGGACCCGCGTCAGAAGCGATGGTGAGTGAAGACACGAAGTCTGGCACCGTCATTTTGTTCATGGTTAGCTTAACTGTGGAACAAACAGCTGGTGTTTACTTGGATCTCAGATTGAGCTGCTGACACTGATGTACCTGAACAGCCTGGCTGAGGAGGCCAAGGCCAAGGCGTTTGAGGAAAAATCTGCAACGATCCGAGGTCATCACGTTAAAGCGGTCTCCAAGGTAAACGAAATTTATATTAAATACATATTTGCACGGGGCGAAAGCTTGTCTTAGAAAAGAACACAGCATTTWATTTAAGAAAACTGAAGACATAAAATCAGTCAGTAAGGCAGTAAATAAAGAAAATGCAGTGTGAAAGCTGAATGACTGCTAAAATCTGCTGAAGAAGCTAAAAGCTGCAAAAAGCTTCATTGCCAATGCAGTACTACCTTATGTATATAACCTTATGTATACC